CCGCGCGGCCGCCGCTCCCGGACCGCTCCGCCCAGCGCTCCGGGAGCAGGCCCCGGGCTGCGCTCGCGGGCTACGTGGGGGCGCGGCCGAGTCGCGGGGCTGGGAGGAGCGGGCGGCCGGGGAGAGGCGCGCCCACGCGGAGCACCCCGGGCAGAAGGGCAGGGGACCTCCCGGGAAGGCAGAGGTAGAAGAAGTAGGGCCAGCTCGGGTCGTCCGCCGCCAGCACCCGGCTTCAAGCCACAGGGGACCCGCACCTGCTCAAGCGCGGCAGTTTTCCGCTGTTGGACACCTCCTGCGGGCTGCGGTTGGAGATCCTGGAGAGTGGGTCAACGGTGACCTCCGCCCTTTCCCTGGCTGCTAAGTGGCTTCTTGCCGCCGCTGGGAACTTTAGCTTTTCTGCACCGAGGTGGTTGGGGGAATCTTCTGGGCAGACCCGGGCTGAGGGAGACAGGGGTGTCTGCCTCAGTGGGGACTGTGGAGGGGAAGGTGTCACCATCAGCCCTGTTGGCTCTGAGTCTTTGGCCAAGTTGCCTCGCCTCTGTGTGCTCCAGTTTCTCCATCTCGGCAATGGGAGTAACACCAGTGCACACCTGTCCCCCGGTTGTAGGGCTGAAATGCTGTCATGAGAGTAAAGAAGGCTTAGAATAGCGCTGGCAACACATAGCACGTGCCGCTCAACGTGGACCGGTGGTTGTTTTTAAACACCAGAAAGCAGAGTCAAGTCTTCATTTCCTGTAAAGAAAGTTTCCACCACTTACTAACCCATCCCCCCTCAGCCCTAAGAGGTCTGGGGATAGAAAATAGAGTTACAAAATCCAGGATCATGAACTCCCGGTGCACCCCCTCTCTGCGTTAATAACTTCTTCTTCCCTCCCAGCTGGGCCCCCGGTGGCAGTGTCCAAGCCAGAAGGGCCCTCGGAGGCCATAGTGCCCATTTCTGAGAAGGGAAGGCAGAGCCTCCAAAAAGGGAAAGGCTTGCCTGAGGTCAGGCAGTGAGTTAGAGCAGAGCTGGGATAGGATCCTGACCCCCGGAACCGGGCTTGTCCAGCCTGCCCTGGGACGCAGTCAGGAGGGGCTGGGGTTGGGGCATGGAGGTTTCTCAGGCCCCACCACATTCCTGTGATGGCGGCATTTTCACCCCACATTAAGGATGAGTAAACTGAGGTTTGAACCAGAGGGAAGGAGTGACTTGCCCTGTATCACAAAGTGCCAGACCTCGACCCTGCGCCCAAATGACCTTACACAGCATTCTTCCCATGTGGATGCAAGTCCCACCAGCATGGCGCTTGCCGTGGCCCAGCTGACCTTGACACTCAGGGCTGGCCATTCTTGTGTGGAGGGTCCTTGTGGTTTTTCAAATCTTCTTTTCTGAGGTTCCTGAGAGGCCTCTGGTTCTGTTGGGGGGGGGGGCGTTTCAAGAGGCTCCTCTATACATTCACAGAGACAGAAGAAAAACGGAATGTTTGGGGTTTTCCTTTTTTTCGGCGAATCAGTACAGCCAAAGGACACCAGCCCTCTAGAGTTGGCTGTGGTCGAGGTTGAACGTGCCTCGCCATATTTCTAAACTTGTCTTCCTGCCTTCCCCAAATGGCTAACTGTAAAATGGCCTGGGGATCCCCCAGCCAAGCCCAGGGAGGAGTGGGAGGCCGCCAGCTTCTCTCCAGCCTGGAAGATGGGGTCTGGGTGTGTATACGGGGAGTGGGGGGGGGGAGCTGATCGGTGTCAGAGCCCCGTCCTGCCTCAGCTCGGGAGGCGAAGAGCGTGTCCTAGAGTCTCCCGAACCGCAGGGCAGGCCCTGGAGACTGGCTTATTGTACCCACTGAGAGAGGTGACCGCTTCGGCTGAGAGCCAGAGCAGCCCCAGGTCCTGGGAAGGCTCCAGGGCATCCCCCTGGCAGGGCTGTGCTGATAAGCTTCCAGCACACTCTGGCTGTGCACGAGGGCAGGCTTGGAGCATCTGCCCTGAAGTCCTTGTGTCCCAGGCAGGCTGTGGGCATGTGAGGGTGGGCTCAGGGGAAACTGCTCTTCCTGTTCTACAGACGAGGACCCCAAGACACAGGGAAGTGATGCAGTTGTTCAGGGTCTTGTACCTTGGAGGTAGAAGAACTGGGATTCATTCCACAAGTCCTTGTTGAGCACCTACTGTGTGCCAAGTGTTGCCCTAGGAGCTGAGTACTCGTGGGACTGACAGTCTAGAGGGGTGGCGGACACTAACTGAAGTGTGAAGCGTGCTGGAGCGCAAGGGCCTGGTGAAAGTAAAGCAGGGCAGCAGAAGGGCGTGCCGGGAAAGGGCTGCTGTTTCCCATCAGGTGTCCGGGAGGCCGCTCTGGGAAGGTGCCAGTTAAAGAAAGACCTAAAGGAGGCAAGGAAGGAAGAGCTCCAGCGGGAAGAGCGTTCCAAGAGGAAGAAGCAGCAGGAGCAAAGGGCCTGCGCTGCCTGGTGTGTATCCAGAGCGAGAGAGTGGAGTAATGGAGAAGGGAGACCGGAGGAATAGCAGCAGATAAGGTCTAGAGGTCATGGGGGGCCAGTGGTACGGGGGCCACGAAAGCCATAATGAGGACTCGGCTTTGACTCCCAGGGAGGTAGGTGCCTGGGAAGGTCCTGAGCAGACGCTGGGTGGGATGTCCCAGGCTCCTTCTGGCTGCTCCCAGGGGAGCAGACTGTGTGGCACAAGACAGAAGTGGGGAGGTAGCCACTGCAGTAGTCCAGATGTCGTGAGCCGGGCTGGGGGGAAGTGGCCCGGTCCTGGACAGACGGAGAAGGAAGCGTGGCTGGCTCTTCCTGACACGGAATCTGAGACGATGCTGGAGCCCGGGCCTGACGCCCACATCCACGTTCTGAAACGCTAGCTTGTGCATCCCTATTCCATAGGTGGGGAAACCAGGGCACACAGCCAGTAGGCGTCTAAGCCAGAACTGAGCCCCCACCCCTGGGAGGTCCCTTCCTTGGCCTTTCCTCTCCCCTCCCAGCCAGGGCTGACTGTCCCACGTGCTGCAGGGAGGACAGTCATCTGGGGCGGGGGGGGGCGGTGTCCTAGGGTCCTGGTGCTTTCCACATCCTTCCTGACCCCCATTTTGCAGATGGGAAAACTGAGGCCCCAGAGAGTTAGTAAGTACCTCTGGCCTCCCTCGGCACCCCCAAAGGCAGCAGGACTGAAAGCGAAGCAGCCAGTCTTGTGGCATTCAGATCCCAGTCCTGGGTATGAGGCCCATACATGACCCCATGTTGCCACCCCACAGTGTCCCATGATACCCACCTAGAGCGGTGTTCCTGAGCAGGGAGAGCGGGAGAGGATGCGTGGTGTGGCAAGGGGCCTAGCCCGCTGTGTGGATGGACTTGCCTGGGTAACCCCCAGGCTCTGTCCTCAGTGCCTCCTGGCCGTGCTGGGTTGTGCCCCTTGCACTTCTCTAGACCCCAGCCCCTCTGTCGGCGTCCCCTCCGAGCCACTCATGTATCGCCCCTCCCGGAGGCCCGGATTCTGGCTTTGCCTCTGCCTGGGGGTTTGGATCCGCCGGCCCTCCTCTCAGGGCGGGTTTGGCCAGAGCAGGGATCATGTCCCTCTGCAAAGATCCCACGTCTCCCACCCAGATTCCCAGCTCCTCTCTCCCCACCTGCCAGGGCCGACAATTTCTCGGTGACCCCTTCTCCTGATAACTTCCTGGGGACTTGGGTCCTGAGTTGGTGCCAGTGAAGGGTCCCAGAGTGGAGAAACCGAGGGCAGAGTCCCCACGAACAGAGCAGCTTTCACTTTCCTCAAAACTAGTTACAGTTCATGATCTCAGCGTGACTCTGAGGTCCGGGAGGGTGGTAGCGATTGTCCCAGGCAGGACAGGTGAGGGATTGGACACAAGTGTCAGGACTGGACTGAGGTCACCTGGCAGAGCCGGGACTGGAACTCGGGGCCCCGCCCGGCCCTGGGCTTGTTCCTGGGGCCCCCAGTGGCAAGCACTGACCCCCTTGCCAGTGAGGCTTGGAGCTCCTGGCAGCGCATGGAACCCGGCCCAGATAAGGGTCTGGGGCCGGAGCAGGCGACCAGGACAGCTCGGCAAAAGCCGGGGGGCCAAGAGCTGTGTGTGTGTGAGAAACAGCAAGGCCAGTGTGGCTGGACCAGGGCCCCGACAGGGATCCGGTGGGTGGATGCAGGGAAGCCAGCAGGGCAGCCGGAAGGGGGTGCCGGCGGAGATGCGAGCGATGGCCAGATTCCAGGCACGTTTTGAAGGTTATGTCCATGGACCTGCTGAAGGGTCAGATCAGAGTCTGAGAGGAAGGCAAGGCCCAGAGGACCTTGAGGATCTTGGCCTGAGTCATGGGAAGCTGGCCATTTCCTGGGGCTCTCCAGGCCGGTTTTGGGGGGTGGGGGTGGATTGGGCCATGTCAGGTGTGAGTGGTTGGGACGGGGTGACATTTGCTGCCCCTCTAAGGCTGAGGTGGGTGCCCGGCCATAGACTAGGTGCACCAAGATCGTCCACTAGGGGTCTGGTTCCTCCCCAGGTAGAGTGCTGTGGCTGGGCCAGCAGGAGGGTTCACTACAGAGCTTTTTCCCCTCACACGTAGCCCACGTCCACCCCGGTGACCCCAGATGCCTTTTTGTACCTGTTTCAGCCAGCGAACTCTAAGTGAGCTCAGCCTCACATGCTGCCAGGCTGTGTGCCTGCCTCTTGGAGCCTCAGTTTCCCCATCTGTACACAGGGCTGTAAGACTCTTACGCACTTTGTACGATTGTGGTGAGGAATAGTGTGTGGAGAGAGCCGAACACAGGACTGCCTGTGGCAGGGCCCCACGGGTGTGAGCCGCCTGTCATCTCCCCAAAGGCCAGCCGGAGAAAGCCAGGACCCAGTGTGATTTCCTACTGCTCTCCCTCCCTCATTCGGGTTCAGCTCCTCCCACTCACTGATCCTCCAACATTCAGCCTCAGGGCCTTTGCACATGCTGTTCTTGGCACCTGGACAGCTCATCCCCCGCATCCCACTTTGGATTGGATCGTTCACCTCCCCCAGGTCTTTGCTCAAAAGACGCCTCCCTGTAGACTCCATTTAAGATGGCAGCCCTCCTGCCTTCTTTGCTGTATTCCAGCTTATCACCTTCGAGTTCTATTATGATGGTACTGTTCATTTGTCTTCCTCCCTGTGGGAAGGTGTAGTCAGTTTCCTTCACGGCTGCAGGCACAGCACTCAAAACCCTGCCTAACACATAGTAGGCCCTCCCTGACTTTTGGGGTCCTTAAATGGCCAGGGCAGGCATGCAGCAGTCCTTCAGTGACCGGTGACCAGCCCAGGCCCAAAATAGCCTCCTGATCTCTGCTCTCCTGTACTGGGTGAGCTGAACTGACTCCCCAGTACAGATGTGGGAGCCAAGAGCCAAGTCCCATGCCACACAGCTGGGGCAGGTGGAGTGGAGGCCACCGCTGGACCCTGGCCGCATCTCGGCCCGCAGAGCCACAGAGTGGACGTGAGGAGGAGACGTTGGAGATCTGGAGGTATGGGGAGGAGGCGGGACTGGGGCCACCCTCACTGGGGCCAGGAAGGGGAAAGGGCGTTCCAGGCAGAAGGAACTGCAGAGGCAAAGAGGTGGGGCAGAAAGAAAACGGGGCTGAGGGTCAGGAGGCCTGGTACCGCGGCTTCACCTGGGACTCGCTGTGGCCCTTGGGTCTCTGGAGCTCAGCTTTCCCATCTGGACATGGGAAGATGAGCTGTAGCCTCCTCCTGGAGCTTTGGGGAGAAACAGAAAGCCTCCCACATGGGATCAGAGCCTGTTGCCGTGTCCAGTTTGCTGTGAGACCCTGGTCTGGTCACTGATGGCTCTTGGCCTGTCAGCCTTCCACGCTCGCCACAGGCTGGGAGCCCGGGCATTGAGGAGCGAATTCTCTAAGATGCTTTAAAGTTACAACACACAAAAGACCATTTGCTTTTAAAAAATTAAAGAAAGACACCTGGCATTGACGTGTTTTCTTGTAGAGCCAGTGAATTGTGTTTTCTAACCTCAGGGCCTTTCCATCGAGCGTGCCCTCTGCCTTTCCCTCCCTCGGCCACCCCCTCCACTCCGACGTTTTCTTGGGGGGATCTCCCCGGCCTGCCCGTGGTTAAATGGCCCCCCGTCTTGCCCCCAATCCACTTTATTTTTTCCCTCCTACACTCACAGTGGCCTGAAATGATAAACCGTGGAGTTGTCCTCAATCCCTCTTTCTCTCACTGACCACGTCCAGGTCACTGGCAAATCCTGCCGGCTACACCTTCACAGCACCGTCCGAGTCCAGTGCCTTCCCGAACCCCACCGCCTCTGCCCGCGCCTGGGTCCCCGCCATCGCTCACCTGGGCTAGTGCGGTAGCCATCCCATTGGCCTCCCTGCGCCTGCCCTGGTCTGTTCTCGTGGCGGCCAGAGGGATCCCGTGAAACGCTGAGTCACCTCCCGTCTCTCCCCTGCCAAGGACCTTCCTCTGGCCCCCAGCTCACAGTGACTTAAAGTCTCTGCAGCACCTGCTCCTGTCACCTCCCTGCCTCCCCTTTGCCCACACTGCTCCTGCCACCCCAGCCTCCTCACTGGGCCTCCAACACATCAGACCCACTCCTGCCTCAGAGCCTTTGCCCTGGCTGTTCCCTCTACTGAAACACGCTTCCCCCAGACAGCGCATGGCCGACTCCCTCTGCTCCTTCCTGTTTCTACCCAGCACTCCCTCCGCGCCTGCCCCACCCCTGGCCCCGATGCACATTAACTTGCTTTTCTTGTTTATCCTCTGTCTCCCCTTCTACTGAGTTCCACGAGGGCAGGGCTCTTTGTCTGGCTTGTTTGTAGCTGAGGCCCCGTACCAGAAACAGTGCCTGGGGCTCCGTAAACATCTGTGGAATGGAACGGATGGATACAGGGGTGAAGGGACAGACGGACAGATAGCACGGCTGGCCGGCTGGCTGCTGGGTGGATGTGTGCTGAGAGGACTTAGAGCGGCAAAGGCTCACGTGCTCCGTGTGTTCTAGGCACTGCTCTTAGCATTGTGTAGAGATGACCTCACTTAGTCTTCTAAACACGATGAGGATGCTTTATTATATCCCCCAGTTTATGGATAAGGAAACTGAGGCACAGAGAGGTCATTCCGGGTCCAACTCCGGCACCCTGGCTCCAAGCGCCCATCCCTCCATTTGCCTGATTTAAGCCCCAAGCGTGTCCAGGGCCTCACCTGTTCGCCACCCTCCCTCTGCAGGATGTCACGACCGGGCTGTCCTGCTCTACGAGTATGTGGGCAAGCGGATCGTGGACCTGCAGCACACCGAGGTCCCCGACGCCTACCGCGGGCGTGGCATCGCCAAGCACCTGGCTAAGGTAGGGTGGGGAGATGGGGCCGCCCTCTCACGCGGGTAACCGTGGCCCTGGGGGGCTGACCCGGGCCTGCGTCGTGGCCAGAGGGCAGACGGTGCCCACCTTGCCAACAGGTCACAGCTGGGAGCGGGCAATGGGCCGGCAGCACACTTCTGCCCTCCCCCAGCCCCTTTGGGGCGGGAGGCAGCAGGTCTGGGCCCAGGCCTTAGGGTTCTGTAGAGCTAAGCCTCCGGGGCCACGGACACCTGCTGTAGGGCAGGAGCTCACTGGCCGGGACCCCGGCACCCGGCACAAAAGTAATAGGTGCTCAGTAAACCCTTACTGAACGAGGAGATAAAGGAAAGTCCGGGAACGACGGCTTGCGTCCCATCCCACCCCCAGGCCCTCCATCCCCAAAGCAACCCAGAGCCCAGGCCGGCTGGAGAGCAGGTGTGGCCTTAATGCGGGGAGTTGCAGCCTGGAACGGAGAATGGCCTTCCGGTCGTGGCCCTGAGGGCGGCTCCAGGCTCCTGTTCTTCCCTCTGGCTGCTCTGCCCACCTGCACCCCCACCTCGCGCCTCCGTTCCTTCTCTCCCCTGTAGCTGCTGCCCCCCGGGGCCAGGGACTGGTGCCCGGGTCTTGCAGACACAGCTGTCTTCTTCCTTCAAACGGGCCCCGCCTCTGAGCTGCTCTGTGGGGGTTGTCCCGTGTTGCCGCTGAGGAAACTGAGCGTTACTTACCTGGGCAGAGGGGAGGCGGGCCGTGGAGCTGGATGCACCCCTCCCTGATGCTGCGGAGCCTTGGCCAGGCGTGGGATCTGCCGGGTGCCCCCGGCCGGGTCTCCCCTGAGCAGCCCTGCCTGCCGAGGGCACGAAGGTGTTCACCGTGTGGCCTCCAAGGCCTTCTTGGGCCTTCCGTTTCTTTTTCTGCAAAATGGGAGAACAGACTGGAATCTTGTCTCTTGAGGGTCTCAGGTTGTGAGCCCTGAGATGGGGTGTGCACGGTGAGACGTGACAAGGCCTGCTCGGGCGAGTGGAGCTGGAGGTTCAAACTGGCCGACATGTAAGCCCAGGATCCCTGGTAGGTGCTCAGTAAATGCTGCTTCCCCCTCATCAGACCAACCAGCCCCACCCAGGCTGTCCCCCACCTCGTTTCAGCACACACTTATTAAACGCCAGCTGTGTGCAGCACATCGTGCAAGGCACCGGGGGCAGGGGGTACCCCGGGCGCGCCCTCGCCCTCCGTCTCCTGAGCTCCTTGGGGAGGACAGCCACAGCGGTGACAAAAGCCACAGGCTGCCACCCTCATCGCTTCCCTCCCCGCCCCCCCGCCCCCTCCCCCGATGGGCTTCAGAAGCCCGCTAAGAGCTGAGCGTGACCTCTGCGAGGTGCAGGGAGGCCTGGGGGCTCCTGGTTAGGTTCCAGGGGGTGAGGTTCCAGGACGAGGCATCAAAGGAGTGGCTGCGTGAAGATGACGGGAAGAGTTGCAGGCCTGGCGAGCACAGAGGCCCTGAGGTCGATGGGGCGGGTGCGCTGGCTGCCAGGCCTCGCCGGTGGGCTGGGGGACCGGCAAGACGCGGCGCGGGGTCGGGCGTGCTCTGGTTTAGTGCCCGCTTGGCGCCTTCCAAGACGCACGGAGCCGTGCGCACGTTGCTGCTGGGCTCACTGGGCTGCCCTCCCAGGGCCTCTGCATCCGATCCTGGCTTACCCGCTTCGGGGTCGTGTGGCCTCGGGCAGTTTACCCAAGCTTTGGACCTCGGTTTCCCCCACTGCAAAAGAAGGGTGGCGGCAGTGGCCTCCAGCTCCCGCCCTCGGAGGGCAGCGCCCGGGAGAGCGTGGGGGCCGGGCTGCGGGCACTGACCACTTCTCTCTCTGCCCGGCCGCCAGGCTGCTCTGGACTTTGTAGTGGAGGAGGACCTGAAGGCCCATCTCACGTGCTGGTACATCCAGAAGTACGTCAAGGAGAACCCCCTGCCGCAGTACCTGGAGCGCCTCCAGCCGTAACCCTGGCCCCGCGGGGCAGGAGCCCTCTGCGCCAGACCTCTCCTCACGGCCTTCGCCCCGGCCCTCCGCGTGCTCTCAGGAAACCTGGTCCCCACAGGGGACGGACTCAGAGTTATTTTTGTAAGGACGCTCCTCGGTGGCCCCCGGAGGCTGCCGGCCAACGATGCGCAGTGGTCCAGCTACCGTGGTGAAGGGGAGGCCGGGCAGCCGAGGTCCCGGCGGTGGTCACTGTGCAGACACTGGCTGGCTCCTCACAAGGCCACCCCCGCCTCCCGTGGGTGGGCCGGCGGGGGCCTGCGGCCAGGACTGCACGGTGGCCAGGCCTGTCCCTGGGGCCGGTCTGGGTCCCACCTGCTGCTCGCTGCTCTGTGATCGGCAGGAGAGCTGATTTGGGGCCCCTGCCGCCACCACCTAGGCTGTGTCCTTTGTGCAGACGAGAAGGGGATTCCCTGAGTGGAGAGGAGCAATTAGAAACCTGGCGTGCCAGCTTCCCAGGGGCGTGACACCGAGCCGCCCCTGCCACCAGCGCCCAGCCTTCTCTTCCTCCAGCTCCTGCGCCCCGGCACTGGGGGGCACGGGCCAAGGCAAGAGGCAACGCTCCTTCATGGGCAAGGCCTGCAGTGCATGTACTGGGCACCCGCCGCAGCTCGCCCGCGTGCACATGGCACACACACGCGCGCACACGCACACGCACGGGACGCTATGTGCAGGGCTGTGCATCATGGAGTGGCTGCTGTTCTCTCCTTGGTACCTGTTCCCTTAATTCCTTGCCCCCTCGTCTGTCAGCTCGGCAGGAAATCGAGGTCCCTGTCCCCTGTGGCCGCCCTCCATTGGCCTGGTCTGCCTGGAGCCAGCCCCAGGCGTGGCCCGAGCACCAAGCCCCGGGAACCCCCCTTTCGCCAGCCTCTTGGCCGCCCTGTGGGTGGGCTTTCTCACAGAGGACCCTTTGGAGCTCAGGTGGGAGGGAGGCACACTGTCCTCACAAAACCGTCCTCACCACCCAAAGGGAAGAAACATTTCCGTGGAGGGATTTCCTTTGTGGACATTGGACATCGGAGCGTCTTTCTCTTTCATGGCAAGCTTCTGGCTGGGCACGTTCTGTTGCCTGCTGGGATCCCAGGGTCCCTCCCGGACCAACTCTCCTGGTAATGGCCTGGGAGGTGCACACCAGCACCCTTTCTTCCGTAGGCTTTGTGAGCTGGTGCTAGGGCTCGGGGTCCTGAACTCCTGTGCCCTCCTTCCCGCAAGGGTCAAATCCATGCCCACCTCTCTGTGGGGCTGGACGGTGACCCTGGAGTCAGAGTCCCTTTGGGGCTGAGACATCAGTTAACAGCACCTCCCCAGGGGTACCGTGTCCCTTCCAGGCCTCTGGCTGGGGGCGGGCTTGGGGACGTGTGTCTGCTGGGGGGCCTGGTGGCCACGGTGACCCCTCACTTTCTCTCACTCGCTGTAGTGGGACTCGGCCTGGGGTGGCCTTCGCACTCACCTCTTCCCCGCTCTCGGCACGCGCCGAGCTCGGCCGCCAACGCAGCTCAGGGGTTCCCCCCTCCCGCAGACGTTTGCACACACCCCTTCCCTCCCAGTGGCAGGAACATCTAGATCACGAAGTGCACGGAGGCTGGGCAGCCTGCCCGGGGCCGGGGGGTCCCTGAGCCCCAGAGAGGCACTGTCCTCAGCATCCCCCACCGCCTCCCATGTACTCGCTCCCAGCCCCACTCTGGCCTCTAAGAATTCCCCTCCCAGAGGGCTGAGGGCACCCCTCGCCTTTCCCACCATGTTCCTCAGTGTTGTTGGCAAAGGGCTATTGTGAGGAGCCGGAGACGCCCCGGGGCCTCTGCTCCGCTGGTGGTCCGCGGCCAGGAAGGACCCTGGGGGGAAGGAGGTTGGGTTGCTGCGTCCCCGCCCAGGCTGGGGGTGTCCCATCCCTGGCGCACCTCAAGGAAAGAGGGGGTTGTAGGCCCAAGAGGGGGCAGATGGGCCAGTCCAGGGTCCGGGCCTTCTCCCTCTGACTCCTGGGACGCGGGTTATGGTCCCCTTCCCCTCCTCCTCCCCACCCACACATGCCTTCCCAAGGTCAAACACAGACTCAGTCATGAAAACTGCCCAGTAGATGAGAAAACGGGGGCTGTTTCCCTCTGTGGCGTACAGGGTGACATGAACCAGCTGCAGGAGGGGACTTGGGCCCAGAGCCCTCCCAGTCCAGCCATGGCAGGGAGCCTTACAGCAGGAGCGTACGGGACCCCGGGGAGGCCCCCGGGGCCAGCAGGGAGAACAGGTGGCGCTGAGGGCAGCCCTGTCCCAGTCCTCCATGGGTCCCAGCTGGAACCCTGTTCTTAACCGTAGGTGTCATGCCACGCTTGGGCAGCATACGCACAAAACACTTAGTACTTGAACCAGGAGACATGCAGGGCTTCGGGGGACTTAGATCAGCCCCGGGCCCAGGAACAGCTTGTCCCCAGTTCCTGCAGGAGCCACCTGGAGCCTCCTGGAGCTTCCTCGCGTCCAGCTGCCTTAACGTACCACCGCCCCACCGCAGCGTCCAGCCCTCCCTCAGTCTTCAGCAGAGGCTCAAGACAGCAGGGACCTGCCCTCCGAGGCTGGGACCCTGGTCTGCAGCAGACACAGGCCTGAAGTCCCCAGCCCAGTCCCCCCCGCCCCCCCCCGGTGCTACTCTTTGGCGCTCCTGCGTTGCCCACACCCATCCGGGCTGTTCCAAGGGCCCTTCCCCGGCGGGCAGGTCACGAGGGCCGCTTCCACCCGCAAGGGCAGGGGGACGCTTGGGGATCCGACCCTGGGCCCCCCTTCCAGCAGATTGCCCCAAAGGCCCTGCGCTCTTCTGCCATGTCTTGCTCTGGGGGGTTTCTTTTTCTTGCCCGGTCAAAATAGGTGGTAACTCATGTGCCTTTCCTACTCAGGACCTGTTCCAGGTGGTGTCTGGGCCAAGGCCGGTCTCCAGACCTGCTCCCTTTGTTATTTTTCAAACTCCTGAACAGATTGCATGGCATACGTTTCAATAAAAGGTGTGACCGAGTGCGCGGGCTCCAGGAGTGCCTCTAGAAGCCGCACAGTGGGCACTCGGGCCGGGGGCCCGTTCTCCCCCACACCTTCCTGCTCCATCCCCACGGCAGTCTGATCACTGGCCCCCCTTTTACTGAGGAGGAAGGAGGGGAGAGGGCAGGCTTGGCGGGCGCTCTCCATTCTTCTGTCCCCGGTCCCTGGTGTTGAGCCTTGTGTTTAATGGGCAGCGGGGCCCCCATTTTCTGGTAGGGAAGGCGAGGCTCTGACAGGCACCCGGGGCCTGGCTAAGGTCTCCCAGCAAGACCGCAGTGGCATCAGGATCTGGGGACTTTGCTTTCCTTTCACATGTCACGGCTCCCGCCTCCTGGGGCCACGGCCACGCTCTCAGCGCTGGGCACGTGGAGCAGCCCAACGGGGTTTGCCAGGAAGAGGCTGTGATGTCCTGTCACGTGTCCTCAGCTACTGCTCTTGGACATGTCCCTCTCCCCACTAAAGAGCCTTCCCTTGGGGCTTCTGGTCCCGTGGGGGGAGGCAGGCTCCTGTGCAGGCCCCCGGGGAAAGCCAGGCGCTGCACACAAGGGCCACGTGGCCACGTCCTGTGTCTGTCCCACTCCCTGCCCCCCACCCCGCGGCCCAGGGAGGAAGGGACCCCTGAATGGGAGTTTTCCTAGTTCCCACTCGGGATTATGGTGCTACCCCGAACAAAAGAAGAAGGGGAAGACCCTTCAAAAATCTTGTCCAGCCTGTCATGGCAGGTGCCGCGAAAGCCCAGTTCTTAGGCCTATTTTACAGATGAGGAAACTGAGGCCCAGAATGGGGGAGTCACTAGGCTGCAGCCCACATAGCTAGATGGCAAGAGCAGCAGGATCCACACCCGGTCCCCGCCCTCTTTATAAGATGATGCTGGGCTCGGGGGTCCTAGGTCTTAAATGTCTACCCTAGGTGACAGACGGTCTCTGAGAGCAATACACACCTAACCTTTCTGGCAAGGTGGGTTCTGTCTTGAGCTACAAGCTACATAGCTAAGCAGGGGGGCCCGCTGGGCACGTGAGGATGACTTCGTGCGGGGATTAGGAGGGAGCATCCAACCATTCAGTCACTCACACTGCTCCTTCCTCGGGGCAGGCTTCTCGGATTTGCTCAAGTCCACACAAATGTCCCGTCTACCGTTCTCAGGGTCTCGCTCCTTCCCAGTCAGCGCCCTAAGCTCCCCATCGGCGCCTGGCGAGGCTGTGAAGGGACGTCACGCTGCCCCCAGCAGATCCAGCTCCGGGCTCCGTGGGCCCTTGTGTCACCCCACAGCTATGGGACGCTAGAGCGAGGAGTCCCCGACTGCCGAGGACGCTCTGCGGTCTCGTGGCTGCGCCTGGAGCCGAGTCTACGCCTTTCTGTCTGCTGACCCTGCTGCAGCCCCTGCATCCAGCCCACACCGGGGCATCAGTAGCAGTCGTCCCCGTCCTGGTGACTGGGGACAGCAGCTGGCGGGTCTCCAAGCCCGGCCTTCAGGAGGCGCCTCCACCCCTCACCGAAACTAGCGGAGAGGTCAAGTGGCAGCTTTGGGCTTCCAGGGTCTCCTTCCCCCACGGGGGCAGTGAGGTCATGACTGTGCCCCAGCCCAGTCCGGTCACACCAGCCAGCCCGGGCTCCCGGGTTCGAGGGATCGTTCCCCGGAGACCGAAGCTCCGACCAAGAACACCACCGCTCCGTGTAGGGTCAGGAAAACGGAGACTGCATCAGGTGCGGCAAACACACGGGATTTAGTGCAGGGGACTGGCGACCACACTGTTGGAAGGATGAGAGGAACCAGCACGAGAAGATGACCCGAATGTTAGTACGTGTGGGAGGCTGCGGTGCCATGAGCTGGGGCACGAGGTGTCCCTTAAAGCCGCCATCGCTGGGCCGCTGCTAGGACTCCGCTACCTGAATAAATGCCCGGAGTGGGTGCCCACCCATCGCTGCCACCACTGCTAAAAACACCCCAGATCCAGAAACACCTGCACCGTCTTCTAGGCTCCTGCCAGGGCCCCCTTGGGCAGAAATGAACAGGCCGCCCACTGCCGAGGGCTCTGGGAGGTGTGGCCTGCAGGTGTGGTCCCGGTGGGGAGGGGATGTGGATGCCCCCAGACAAGTAGCTGGGATAAAATATCCTGGCCAGCGAGGCGCAGGGCATCTGATCGCGTGCCAATCCATCTACACCAATGGCTGAAGCCACAGCATGATCCAGAATGACAGCTCCCAATGCCAGGCCGACTCCGAATGGCTGTTAGAATGGCAACTCACGTTTAGCACGTCATGGGCTGGTGCCATGAGCTTGTCGTAGGTGACAGGGGACACTTGCAGGCTGTGGCTCGGGTTTGGGTGGGAGATCTGTGGGTGAGATTCAGCAAT